GAATGTGCAGGCCCTACTAGAACGTTTCAAAAATCTTCACCATTGCATTTTTACTCACGAGACAAACCGATTTTGATTCTTCGTTTGTGCTGGCATCTACCTGGGAGCCGCTGCTGTGGAATCACTGCGGAAAGCCAAGCTCCTGGGAACAACCCTCGACTATTTCCCACTTTGCAGTGATCAATCCGACGGTTATTTTTCTTTGTCCATGCATTTATGAAATGTCAAGTGGTAGACTATCACATACGCATGGTCACGAGTTCGAATCCCAGATCGGTAACACCTAAGCCAACCAAGCCTACCATCCCTCCGGGTCGGTTAATTGGTACCAGACTAATCTGGGAGGATAGATGCTATGGTTATTGTGCTATTATGGAAGAAGATATGGTTCATAGTGGGCTGAAGCGGGTGACACTCAACTTTGCCAGAGCGAGGTTCCCTTCAATGTTCAATATATTGACCATACCGTTGGCATTATTACACAAGCAGTACGAGCAATAAAGGGTTCAAGCAGACTTTTTCAGCCCTGAGCCACATTCTCGCGATTCCGTCTTTGACAGAGAGCTCCCCGACCACCGCTTGAGTAATCCTGGTTAAGCTCGGTGGGACGGGACAATGACGAAGATCCCTTGCCTCTAGAAAGGCTTACATGGGGTCCCATTTGGGGTACTCATTTCCAACAGCGAATAGGATTACCAGAATTGGTACAGGACAGTGTGGATTCTATCCTACTTCGGTTGCATAGCCCTTACATAGTCAACTACAATTACTTCCAGCTCCCAACATAGTTCAGAATACTCTATTCTGGTCACTTACTTCTTATTCTTTGAAAATAGATGGCTTAGGAACGGAAGGCACAGGCTAAGCCTATCAGCCGCTCTATTGAAAAAGCGTCATATTACGGCCATATTCCACCATTTCATATGATGAGCTGACTGCATCGTAAGACGCAGATCAACTAGTGCACATAGAGACACTACAGCTCCGAACATTCGAAGGTCCCCTTAAAGGGCCTTCGCAGAGACGATTTCGCTAAATATAGCCTCCTCCAAATGCAGCCATAGAAGCGCCGATGCTTCCTTCAGCATCCTTAAGCACTTCCTGAAAAACAAGTTCGTCAGGAAGTCTTTGGGTGTCGGGCCGTTTGAGTGGAATAGGCTTGTAAGAGTGAAATGGACTTTACAACTGCGTCAGTGAGTGAAAAGTGAAGAGAATGACCTGCTAAAAGAGCAGGTGCAACTCGCGTCCTACAAGTGGGAAGGACAGGCTATTGACTAGAAGCTCCGTGAAGGAGAAGTGTGCTTCCTGTGCGTCTACTGATCGACGCTGTGCGCAGAGAGTTTCGCGACAACTCGGAGAGCTCGGTCAGCAAATGATGAGTGTTGGTAATTGACGTCTTATTATCCGTGCTCTCCTCCTCCTCCTCTTCCGCCCGTCAAGCTTCTTCTCTTCCCTGGGATGGGAAGAGTGAGGGCGACGAGAGCACTTGCCTCTAGCTGCCCACGACTCTCTTCACCAGGGCAGACATGCAGGGGTTGACGGCGACTGAGTGAACGGGGAGGACGCGGAGAGAGACGGCTGCCGGGATCGATGCGGTGCGGTTGGCGCGGCAGCCGGCTGCTCCAGCTCCTGCTCAACCTGGTCCAGCTCATCGTCGCCGAAGACTCCCTGTCACAACTGTTGTCCCGGCTTGACGATTCGCACCAATGTGGTCGCGCGATCTCAGCCGGTCGACTGCTCTCGACTGCCATCAACGCACGATTTCCGCGACTCATTCCGCTAGCACGGTTTTTTGCCGAACATCCAGGAGACTTCGATGCCACTTTCCTCGAGAACTCCTCATTCGATCTGAAGCCACCTCTGAGGGCCAATCTTACTGGATACAATCCTCTGTATGCCCTCGAGTACAGCTGCGAGAACATCACCAGTCGATGGCTGCCCACTATCGTCTTTCCCACCAAGGATCCAAACGCGACCAACAGACGAGCCTACCTCACCCTTCGTATGGAGTTCGACCTAGATTTATGCAATAGTATTCCCTGTAGCACAAAGGTTTGTCGTTTCTTCCTTCGCCATATAGGCTCTTGGCCGATAATCGCCGTTAATCTTGCTAATTTTTTTTTTGATTTTTCTTTTTACATCCTTTAATATTTTGTTTTTCATTGTTAGCCGACCTTAATCAACTCATAAACACTTCGATGGACTGAGATTCTCTCAGCGCCATATCGATTCCGGCTGTGAGAAGCAGTTCTAGAGGGCAATCCCTGCAGTGATTCCATTGGTCACACACACACACAC